CTAGTTAAGCGAAGCTTCGGATTCCTATATATACGATAACGAGTTCTAGAATATATTAAGAAATGTCTACAATGTTAGCGTAACAAGGCTGATAGACACGCTAAATATAGACATATCCAATTTAGGACGCTACTAGATAAACTATAGGACGAAGTTACAATAGACTTTATTACGAAGCTACCGAAGTCTAAGGATCCGGTTACAGGACATAGCTACGACATAATACTTGTTATAGTCGATAGGCTTACGAAATACGTACACTTCATTCCTGCTAACGAAGTAAGTACGGTAGAGCAACTCGGATACCTCGTACTAGATAGACTTGTACGATACTACGGATTTCCAAAGACCTATATTACGGATAGAGACAAGCTCTTTACGTCAAACTACTAGAAGACGCTTATAGCGACGCTTGGAATTAAGCACAAGTTATTAACGGTATACTATCTATAGACAGACGGCTAAACGGAAGTTAAGAATCAGGCCTTAGAGGTATACTTACGGCACTACGTCAATTACGTACAAAACAATTAGGCATCGCTATTACCTATAGTACAACTTATACTAAACAACCAACAATCTAAGACTACGAAAGAGATACTATTCTTCGCTAATTTTAGGAAACATCTGTAGCTGTTCGGGGAACAGTATTTACAGTATCTATACGCGGATAAAGCGATAGTCGCTTTAGAAGACTTGAAGCAGGTGCATAAGGAATTGTAAAGGGCAATTGCCGAGTCTTAAGAAAAGATTACGGGGCCATATAATGCTAAACGAAAAATAGCACCTTAGCTAAAGAAGGGGGATAAGGTCTACCTCCTAACAAAGAATCTGAAAACCCGGAGATCGACTAAGAAACTAGACTACGTTAAAGTCGGGCCATTTTTGATTAATGAGCCTAAAGGACCAGTTAATTACCGACTCAAACTACCGGACGACGCGAAAATCTACCTAGTATTCTATATCTCTATGCTAGAACCTATAGACGCCGAAACACCGTATTAAGAAACATTTCACTTCCAACCTAAGGAAGAAAACGAGTTTAAAGTCGAGGAAATCCTAGATTAGCAAGGTTAGAAATACCTTATCAAATAGAAAGGATACCTACATTTAGAAAACACCTAGGAACTAAAAGAAAACCTATAGAACTGTTAGCAGATAATTAAAAAATTTCAAAACCGAACAAAAAAGAAATAACTAGTATAGGAATTGAACCTACGACCTCTTAGACCCTATCGATTATAGCGCCTTAAAGTTCTCAACGACTTAGGGCAGTATAGCTCGAGGAGCGGGGACTCTAATAGCGTACCTAGTAACCATGTCTTTTATAGCTAAGAATTATACTACTAGACTAACTAGCTAGAAGATAAAATAGACAGGAAACATTGAAAATACATACCTTTAAGACACTAGACTCTCGGCACTCCTACTAGGAATTTCAGAGGTAGGCTAGGACGTCCTATCTAGACGACTCTAGTTATAAGGCGATATCTATAATCGGCTATCTAGGGGAAACGGCTCGTTAGTAGGCAACGAGAATATTATCGGCTCTATAGGCGAAGAGCCTAGCTCTCTTTCGAGCTCCTCCGCCTATTAAATAGAGGCTTCCTCTACCTTAAGAGCTTGTACCTCCCGATCTTCCTTTATACGCAGCGACTTACGTAAGCGACGGACCTTTGCGCGATGCTCGAAAAGCTTCCGCGTAAGGAGGTCTTCCTCCTCTTCGGCCGCTTCGAGATCTTTAGCTATCTTTAGGCGCGCCTTCCGGATTTTTTCATACTCTATATAAGTAACTTGCATATTATAGGACTAGCCGTATAGGGCGCACTCGGAGTAGCGGCCGGAACGGAGATCGACTTTATAGGATTTATCGGCCTATTCGCAATAAAAGCAGCGGATCGGCATTTCGAGGCAGTCGGTAAGGATATTATTTACGATATTTTCCTTACGCTAACGAGAAGACAAGTCCTTTAATAACTTTAGCATAGCAAAGAAGTTGGAATTAGAAAGTTCCGGAATAAGGGACTATCCCGCTTAAGGAGGGGGATAGTGTTACGGATCTGATTGGTTAGAGTCCTTACATAATCTTAGAGCGACGCTAAGACTAGTAGGCTAAGCTATCGCTCTATCTTACTAGGAGCGACAGGAGCGGTCGAGAGCGATAGCGTCGCTTACGTCGCTTACGACTATAGACAAGATGTCTCCTTTGTATTTAGAAACGCCGGAATGCCCTTATAGCTCGAGGCGTTCAACTTATATTACCTACTTACTAATTAGAATTACCTTTGTACTAATTATTCTATCTCTGCCTCCCGCTTGTATTAGCCTCTCTAAAGAAGCCTCGGCTTGCACGTAATAAGAAGTCACCTAACGATCTGTCGCGAGTAACCGTAACAGATCGCTCTCTTCGTAGCTAAAATAGCCCTTAAAGAAGGCAGAGCGGCACTCTTCTTCGCGGTCGCTAAAGTCTCGAGAAACTGCTAGTTTGTTAATAGATAGCGAGTATACTACCTAGTAGATAGGTTAAGTCTACTTAGTAAACCGGAGGTCGAAGAGCGATAGCAGGTCCTTCTCGTAAGGCAGGCGCGCCTACTATATTAAACGACGTAGCTACTGCTAGCGAGGTACGATATTACTAACCTTCGAGGTATCGCTCTTACTAACTAGCCGTACTTCGTTAATAAGCTAAAGGAGTATATAAAGGCTCTATAGGCGGCTCTAGAACAGAGGCGAGTTAATAGTCTTAAGGGTAGTAGAAGCTCCCTTTGCTAGGCGACTATTCGAGCCTCTAAATAGCCGTTAAGCTATAATCCTCGTACAGTCTTAAAGGCAGGTTATTGCTACGAATAGGCTATGTATTATAGTATAGTGTAAACCCTAGCGAGTAAGACAGGCGATAGCAAATGCCCTTAATATAGCCTTATTGTCCTTAGCAAAAGCCTTAAGAATATTCTAAGCCTTCTTCGACCTCTTAAATAAGGCAAGTACGTATACCGCTTCGCGGAGCGTATCGCTATAGAACGGTAGGTACGAGTCCTTCTAATTGTTACCTTAGTCGCTAATATATAGCTATATACCGTACGAGTCGTAGAATATATAGATTATATACTTAGTAAGTAGATTGTCGGCGAGTCGGTCGTAGAGCGCTCTTATTATCGCGTAGGTATCGGTTTAGAGGGAATTCTAGCGCTTAAGGTCGCTATTAACGAAGGGCGCTACCTACTTAGTTATCTGCCTCGCGAGGGTTATAGCGTTAGCGTTAGAGTCCTTTATATCTAGCAGGTTATAGAAGAACGAGCTAGACACTATATTAGCTAATAGATTATAGAAGCGAGTGCTACCGCGACTCTTACTCTCGTCGGCGCTAAAGTTAAGGTCTCGAAGCGTATTAAATACCGCCTATACGTCCTTCTCGACTTCCGCTCGTATCTTATCGATATAATCTACTACCTTATCGCGACTCGGAGGGTTATAATTAGCGTCGAAGGTATAGAAGGCCTCGCGCTATTCGGGGTAGAATCTCGCGTCTACTTTATTAAATAGCCTCCTACTATATAAAATAGCCTTTATAATAGCTAGGTCGCGTACCTACTTAGTCTTAGCAACACCGTATAGAAGTATACGTTGCTATTTGCGCGGCAGTAAGCCCTCGGCTTTATTATTAGATTAGTAAGACCTCTTATAGTCTAGATACTACTAATACTTCTTTAGGTACTTCTACTTACGCGATAGGCTTCCCTCCGGTACTGTTCCTTTCCTACTATCGTACTAGATATAGCGTACAAATTTGCCTATAAAGTCGGTCTTAATAGAGGAGAAGTTGAGGTTATCTAGGTACTTTGCTAGAGGCATCTTAAAAAGTCGGAATTCTAAGATTCGTAGAATTGCTAGAAATACGAAAAACGGAGGATCTAATAGGCAAAATAGGTAGAAAAAACGATACTAATTCTCTCTCGACAATAGCTATCGAACTATCCGGTTTATAGGTAGATTGGACTATATTAGTAGCAACACCTCTAATCGTAACCCTACGATTGCTCGTTACTAGGCTACCCTAAGCGATTTAGTATCCCTAGTAATAACCTCTCGGAAGACCTACGGAAGTACCTTCTACGCTAAATTACACGCAATTGAGCTCCTTCTAATCTTAAGAGGTAGATCTATAAAGGAATAGGCCTCTAAAGGCGTAGGAAACACACTATACTAGTATCTAAGGTATTTACTTACTCTTAGCTAGTATAAGATAAGGTCTATATAGAGGCCTCAGGCATAGATATTATTATTAACATGTTGCTAACTGTTAGTATAATACTAACGTTGCTATTGACTGACAAGGTGTTATTAACAGCACCCCTAATTACAACGGCCCGGGGTCGAGCACCACACAAATCTGTTCTCGGATCGTGTGAGAACCGTGTACATGTAGTACAGGCATAGGGAATAAGGTTATGGCCGTCTCGAGCACCAAATATGAAATATCCTCGGGTATCAAGCTCCATTTCTTCCAAGAGTCAGAAAGTGCCTAGGAGAGTTGCTCAGTTACAGACTCTTACCCCCTGGCCGGGCCATACAGGGATTGAACACCTATGCTGTTTTGACCAATCTGCTGTCCAGAAATGTAGGCATCAAAAGCGACGAATCTCAGGTGCGAGAGTCGTCTGTAGGGATAGAGCTGTACAATGGCCTCGGACGCGTATATGTGGCCAACCCCGCTGCTGCTAGGATGGGATGCCTCTCTGAAAGGCCGTCTGCCCGGGAGCATGTCTTGGAAGCATCGCGCCGATATTCTGGAAGAAGACAAAGATCCGTTCGAGTAAGCTGAGCTTCTTGAGACATCGCCGAAGACATTACTACTGCTGTCATCAGAGTAGTACAACGAGATTCATCAAGAGCATTGGATCGGGTGCCAAGGCCTTGAAACCCTGCAAAAGGTACATTGCAACACACGATGCCAACGGACGAAGCGTGTACGCCGAATCGCCGGCCAAGTATTCCATACTGTCGAGGATCTCGGCGGCATGGCACGGTCTTACAGCGTGGGGTCTGTTCCTGCCGTGCTCGAGGATGGCATCGATATCAAGGCATACCAGGCTGAGGATGGAGTAACGAGTTTCCGGCGTCGCGACATTGTTCCGCCTCAGCCTGGTGCCAATTTGCTCGTCGTCGATCTGGAGCCTGGCGTTGTCAGCATGATGGTTCGTGCAGGCTTGACGGTATGGTCTGCGTACTTTGCTCATTACCTCGGTAGCATCGAACCGTATCCATAGATTTCTCCATCTGCTGCGTCGGCGAAACTGACCATGAATTGGATAGTGGCGAGAAAGTGCGTCTGTATCCCGGATTGAGTACAGTACAATCTCGGAGGCGTGCGTGCGTGGCGGTATAATATTGCTAAGTTTCAAAAGGACCATATCGTGCAGCGAGGCACATATCATCGTTGGTCCAATGCATCGAAGGACAAGCCTGCTCGATTCGTCGCCTGTACTCTGCCATGTGTTCCCTTCGATATCGCAGGCCAAGAGTTGAAAGAAGAGCATATTCCAAACCCGCCATGGTCCAAGTTATAAGGCGTATCAGTCACAGTAATGTCGTGCGAGTAGTGTCGACGAACACCCGTGTTCCCACCGTCGTCCTTTCGCTTCGGTTTATACCCCCTTCCACTCCCATCAATCTTTCCCTTCACAAGATACGGAATACAACCACGGCATTTCTTCAACAAAGTGGGCCTCCCTCAAGAAATCGTGGCGATGCGCAATTCCTTGATGCATATAAGAGATGTATGCAGTCGTCGGGACCCGAGTCAGCAAAACGAGCAGCGCTCTTCCCTGCCGAACATCTTGACTCCCAGGCCTACTATGAGAGAATAATGCTGGTGTTCGCGTTCAAATGGGAATCACAATCTGCTTCTTCTTGCTGAAGTTACACACACCAAGAACCAAGCAATCGCTATTCTAGAACTACGTCATCGAAATGACAAACATCAAATGAAAGTCGACAGTTCGGTTGCGAAGGAGGAGCGATTGAGAGTTCATGAGACAAGTTTTTGCTGAATTGTCATTACTTGGTTCATACTGTGGATGTAGCTGGCAGTGGCAGTGGGAAGAGCAGGACTTTCACAAGCCAACAATCTGACACACGAACAAGAACAAGACACCAAAACTTTTCACCTCAGCCAAAGCACAGCGCGCACCTCCAGCCCATCTAATCCCGCGAGTCCTTCTACTCAACCCCTACATGTACCCTCCATCAACTCACCTCCCCGCACTCCCTCACACTCATATCCTTCAACCCGCCCCTCCTCTTCCATATTGAATTCCCGCACCTTCACCAACCACATCAACTTTCTACCCAGCATGGCATGAATATGATAGCAAACCCTCCATCATCATAATACAACTTCACAGCTCTTCCAATCCGGCGCCAAGGCTCATGTCGATGAAGATGAGATTTTTCCAGCCATTAGGAAAATTCTGTTTGATGATGTTGATGAGGTTTGCGGTCAGAGTATTGGAGGATGGATGTCTGCTGGAGTGGATTGTGATTCGTAGATGACTAGATAGATGTACTTGTCGTGGTCGATGAAAGGGTCGGCTGTGTGGTGAGTAGATGTGTGATGATTGTGGAGCTGGTCGCGGGATTTCTGGCCGTTGATCTGTATTGCCAATATCGAGTGATACGTGTTCGAATTTTTCTGGCAGGAGGTGAAAATCTCGTCTGACGCAGGTCCAGTTCAGGATGAAATGCTTGAGCGAGTCCTGCTCTTTGCCTGGCTGATTGCATGAGCCATGCAGCCAAGATATGTCTTAGTACTCAAGAAATACCCAGCAGTAACTTGAAAGAGTTTGGTTCTAAAACTTATGCACCGCTGTGGTCGGGTGCGCCATATACAGAAAGTGCATCGTTGAGTCCTCTCAGTCCTCGATACTTGGTGGCCAGCCATCGGCCTCTCCCATACTTGAATTCAAACACTCCGACATCCTGAGCCACCACGCCTTCAATAAGGCCAAAACTCTTAACGACCAAGAAAACCTCAGCAGCTCTTTCATTTTGGTAGATGGTGGTATTTTGCTCCGGAATCTCGATTCTGAATTCTGGGCAGTCGCCTGCAATCATGTCCCTTTTTGTTCGAAGCCATTCTTTAAGGTTCATGATGATCTTCCTCTTCCGCACAGGACAGTCGTGATCGGCTGTGAAATTGGGATGACAATTTTCGGCCCAGGCTGGGCTTTCTGGGTACAAGTCGCGTTCATTGATTGCTCGTATAAAGACAGCACATATGTTTTGAAGATGTGGAGCCGCTGATGTTGGACTATACGGTGATATGTTCCCTTGGGATGACTGAGAGCATGCTGACTTTACTGTGTCGAATGAAGGCGAGTCGCAATGTTTGCCCAGGGGAGAATCATGTTGATGCATCCTCGATCAGTGCCCTGCAATTTCGATTACGGTGTCGGCTGGATTTTGATGAGGAACTGTGGCTCTGTCTGTGAGTCTGTCAGTTGGTAAAAGCTTGCGAAATCAGTTCAGCCGCAGTTTGCTCTGAGGTCCCATGCAAGTTTGCAGATCATCGCACAGGATGTGGTGGAGACAGGTCGAAGCGAGCTGCCATCTGAGTCTAATAACAGACACTACTATTATAGAACAGCGACACTGGCAGCTTCTCTTAGGATTGGCGTTCACGCACTATACGCGATGCCTACACGCTTGAGCTGCCATCTTGCTGTCGTGCTGTCGTGCTGTCGTGCTGTCCTGAATCGGATGCCCTTGGACGCGATCATTCAGATAAGCACGAGTATTAATCGCCAAATGAGCCTGAGCATATATTCGTGCTTAAAATTGATCTAGATTTACCGAGTTCTTGGGAGGGCAAAGCCAGGCGTGCCGATCTTAAATCTTGACAGAAGCAAGCAAGGTCCAGGTGCTGGCACTGAGACATGACACGCCAATGTCGCAGTTAGGCGGAGATGAGATGTCCTGTGAGCAGATGAATAATCATGAAGCGTAGCAGTGAAATGCAAATAATAGTGGTTGCTTGAGCTTGAAGCGGAAGTGGGAGAAAGTCGCGTGCCTCGCTCTCTTTCACCGCCAATGTCTGTGCTGTCAGATGGAGAGCGATGGCCGGGATGTGTGATGTGACGGAGGAGTTGCCGTGAGGTGCTGCGATCACCAGATTCGCTACCACGCTATGATCCGCGATGGCAGGCAGCTAGTGACATGACAACATGCTCATGCTCATGCTCATGGCCCGTCCCCCATGGCGTGCACATGTCCACCAAGCATTTCGAAACGGCCACGACACATGGCAGGCAGCATACAACGGTGCCAGCACACATGTAGGAATTGCCTCCAGTCATAGGCTGCAGCTGCATACTGTAGTTACGGGAAACGCGGCTACAGCGCCATTTTGGGCGTGACTATTCATAAACCTGCCCTGGTTATTCGTAGACCGCGGACCGAGAGCCGGCTCCGGCCTCGGTGAGACCATATTGCTAGTAATCTACACTATAGAATATCGCAATAGAGGCCTCTAGTGCTCTCGTTAGCGCTAAGTAGAATTATAACGTAAGAAAGAGGAACTAAGTAAATAATAGATATAGAACTAGACAATATAGCTAATCCTAACTATTCTAGGCATACTACCTGCCTAGCAAATAAGGTTCTACGACCCTCGCATTAACGTATAGCTCCTACTATACGATCTTAGTGTATTCTAGCATTACTGCTAGCGCTATAGGTACTAGTAGAGCCCTCGGAGCGGGCGGAGGTCCTTCCTAAGTAGGTAAATAAGTAGATATAGGGTTTCTATCGTACTGCCTATACTTGTAATAGCTAGAGTAGTAGTCTACGTTATCTTTAACGTACTTGCACCTCCTATAGGCCATTTTATATATATAGCCCTTACGTAAACGTTCTCGTAGTACTAGTAGCGGTAGAATAGGCCTCCTAGGCTCGGCCTGTCTTATCGCTTCTTACTAGTTAATAGCGGCCTGTCTAGCGGCCTATCTAGCGGCCTGTCTAGCGGCCTATTTAATTAGCTTAGGTCTAGTAGCCTTACGCCGAGTCGTACGACTAAGCCGCTTATTAATCCGCTTAAGTAGCTCTAAGGTACGGTAAGTAGTTGTCTCGTTACTATTATAATCGCTCCGTAGCACTCGCTAGTACTTCTCGAACATACGAATAGTAAGAATGCCGGTTACAGACTCCTTAAGCGCTAGTATCTAGTATATATAATTTAAGCTATAGACCCTTCGATAATACTAGGTATAATCTAATAGCCTATAACTATTAGACTTCCGCTTCTCGAGCTCGGCGCGTACGAGAGCCCTTCGCTCGGCTACTTTACGTAGAGCGAAGGTGCTAATATAGCTAACAACTTTAGCGTAGAATAGATCGCTTAAGAATAGTATAGTAGGTCGACTAATCTCGGCTCTAACTATAAGCCTATAGCGGTTAACTTAGTACTAGAAGTAGGGCACTATCCTATTAATAAAGCTATAGATATCGTTCTTATAGGTCGTTAACTATGCCTTAATACTAGCGTAACAACCTTCTACTAGCGAGGTTGTTATATTGCTATAATACCGCGTCCTATTAATCTAGTATTTAATATAGTACTGTCGATAGACCTACTATATATTAGCTATATAGCTAGCTAGCGATTGCTAGTCTTTATTGTCCGAGTAGTCGCGTATAGGCTCGCCTTTACTAGCGGCAATCTTACCGTTCTCGAGGGCCTTCGAGTTAGTTATAAACGACTTAACCGACGGTAAGTTAATAGCCTTATTAAATAGGTCTATAAAGTCCTGTGCGGCTATACTTAATAGCCTATGCCTTATAGTTAGATCCGGCGGTCTAGTACTAAGGAAGGCCTTCGAATTAGCCTCTACTACGCGTCTAATATGCTAGCGGTAGAGCTATATATATAAATAAGTCTAGTCGCTTGCTAGCGCCTTTATTAGTGCCTTATTACGGTTATAGATTATAAGGCGAGGCTCTTTATAGGTGTGTTCTGCTAACAACTCCTACGTGTACTAAATAGCAATTAAATACTGCTTAGTCGCCTATCTAGGTATAAAAACTAGTACTAGAGGGAAGGTTTAGTTAAACTAATTAAGTAAGGCAATTATAAGCAATAGCATACTATATTCGTTAGTTTTGTAGGTACAATCTATAACTATAATATCCGGACAATTCTTATAGACATTAATTATCTTAGGGTACGAGAAATATAGCTATTCTAGCCGTTGCTTACCGCTTGGTCTAGTGCTAATGCCCTTCTGTACGAAGTAGTTCTATTATAGGAGGTCCTTAATCGTCTTATCGACTACTAACTTGCTAGCGAGTCGCAACTTCTTAGCCTTTGTTACGGGTAAGTAACGCGTACGTAGATGCTAGATATAAGACTTAATAGGTTCGATAAAGAGCTAAGTCTATCTACGTAAATCCGAATAGTTTTGTACGGTACGCTAAGCGCTAAGCAGTAGGTTAGAGTCGCGTAGGCCGAATGCCTAAGGCTAGCGCTTTCTACCTAGGGCGTAGCCCTTTATATTACCCCTATCCTCCTCCCCTTCCTTAGTAGGGATAGAAAGCCCTCCGTAGTTTCTATCGCTATTACTTTATCCGTTAGATCTGCACTTATCTAAGCTTCTCTAGAGTAACGCGCTCGTAGTTTCCTCCTTTGCGATCGGGGTTTCCGCTACTTTCCGGTCGGGGTTGCCGTATCCTAGGCTTTAAGGGCTATAACTTTCTTCGCGACTGCTAAACTGCGCTCTTTTACCTATTTACCCCTTCCTAAAACGCGCCTTACTTGTACTCGCGCCTTCCGTTACTTTCGCGACCTTTACTTCTATATCGCTTTCTATAAGTATTAATATTTCCCTCTTCTTCTTCTTCTTCTTCTTTTTCTATATATACCTCTACTACTACTACTACTACTAATACCGCAAGTCCCTCCCCTTCCTTCTCGGTTCTCTTCGCAAAATTAACTTATCCTAGATAGCTCGTCGAATCTACTATATTAGTTGCTACAACTCCGGCGAAGACTACGCCGACTAATCTATAAGGTTCCTATCCGATTCGTCGTAGGGTCCGCTAACTTTCTTAAGCCCGCTAGCTCGAGGGCTTGCGCTAATTGCGCTCGTAAGAGAATTGCTTACGCCCTACTATAAGTTATCGCGATTCCCGTACTAAATCTCTCGCTAACTATTTAGTCCTTAAATAGCCTACGTAGCCTACGCTAACTATACCCGCGCGACCCGCGCTAATATCGCTAAGAAGCACTCCGAGCTTCTTAAGGTTCTTAAGGTATAGAAAGCCCTTAAGTCTCTCTAGCCGTAGGGGTTGTTATCTAGGTAAGATTCCCCGTTTCCCGCGATAAAACCCTTACTAACCGTCTGTTTTAGCGCTGTCGCCTCGGAGGTAACAAACACCGTCGCTAATGTCGTAGCTTAATAGAGTTAGACGTAAGTCCTTCGCTACCCTCCGACTTTCTCTCGCTAACCTCTCTTTTTTAGTAGTATTCTAAATGCCCTCCGTCTCGGTAATAATCGTATAGGTCCGCTAGAGGAGTAAAGGTTTCCGTAGGTTTTCTAGTAGGCTCTAGGTAGTTTCGGATGTGTTATTATTATTTTTTTTGTAGTCCTAAGGTAATCTTCTAATTTCGGGCGGAGACCCGATACTTACTTATAAATACCTAAATAAAATTCTTCTTAACTCTAAATTATGTTTCTCTTCTCTAGTATTCTAGTAAACCTAAGTCGAATAAGTTAGTAAGAAAATCCAAACTCTAGAAGTTAATAAAAGTCCTTAGAATCTATAAACCTGTTACTCCGCGGAAAAACTCTAGGTTACCGCGTTATTTCTTCCGTTTTCCTCTCTTTTCCTAATCTCCTAGAGGCCCGTCGTTCTCCTCGATTTGTCTATATTTCGCTTCGAAGTCGTCTAGCGCGGAGGTATCCGCGATATAGTCTAGGGGTTCCTACGTAGGTTTATAGTACCCGCTCTATTTTACGAGTGCTTCTCGCCCTCGGCTCTACTTCTTTTTTCGGGCGTATAGGATCTCTTCGACCTACTATTCTTTATACGTCTCGATTAAGATAGGGTCCGGCTGTTCGTCGTCGGTTACCTACTAAGGAAGAGGGTCCCGGCTCGCAAGTCTTAGAAGGTCGGTATAGAATACTAGGTAAATATTGCTAGGTATTCTTAAGAGTTATACTAAGATAGGCGATAATACCTCTTCTACCGTATACTTAGCGTACTTCGAGTCGAGGCTCTTCTTTAGTCTGCCGGTCTAGTAATTCCTTAGGTCGAGCTAGACCTTGTCTTCGATATAATATACCGGCGCTAGAGTTCTAGTCTTGTTCGCGCTATCCTCTTGTTTCTATATAGCCTCCGCTATCTATACTTAGCATAGATCTAAGATCTGCTTAATCTTGTTTACGAACTCCTCCGCCTGTTTCGCCGTAGTTAGCCGTTTGTCGATAGCTAGGTCCTCTTCTAACGTAACGGGGGAGGTAGATTCGTAACTATAAGTCGCGAAGAAAGAGCTTATTCCTAACTCCGCTTAGTGTCTCCCGTTAAACGCTAGTTCTACCGTAGGAAGCTATTAGTTCTAACTTCTAATCGGACTATATCTAGTTAATATAGTTCCGTAGGTAAGCTTATATATCTTAGTTTGCGCGCTTAGGACCTCCGTTAGTTTGTAGATAGTAGGCGGAGCTTAACCTCTGCTTTACGCCGAGTAGTCGATATATCTCCCTCTAGAAAGTGCTCGTCTAATTCGTACCTCTATCGCTAGTAATAGTACGAGGAAGTCCGTAATACCTAACCTAGTATTTTAGGAACAAAACCGCGCATTCCTCTGCTTTTATAGAGGGAGTACTAATAAGGGCGATCTATTTGCTAAGACGGTCTTTAATTACCTATAGATACCGGTTCCTATCTAACTCTAGCAGGTTAGTTATAAAGTCTATCGAGATTTCCTAGAAGAAACGGTCGGGTACCGGTAGGGGTTTTAGGAGGCCGTGTTTGTATTCCCTCTATACCTTATTACATCTATAATAGTTGCAGTTCTATAGGAATTGCCGCACCTGCTTCGACTATAGCGGCTAGTAAAAGTCGCGACCTAGTATAGAAGTAGTAGAATCCCGGCCGGAGTAGCCGTAGAGCGGCGAGTCGTAGATCGACTAGATAATCTTCGTACGTAGTATATCCTACTATAGTTCCTCGGCCCCTATATCTTTATATTCGGTTTCCGTCGTCGCTAGGGCTCCTAGAACCTAGAGCTTACTACGGTAGCGAAGGAACCCCTTAGGGTCTATTATACAATCCCCGATCTAAATTTTTACTTTAATTTCCGGTTATAATATTCTGCCTCCCTTACGGATTTTTCGTACTACCGTCTAGTATACCGTATCTTTCTCGATAATGCTCTTCTATATATCGTTTATCTCTAGGTCCTAGAATAGTTTAGCGCTTTCCGGCGAAGGCTACGCGGGCTCCGTTTCGTTCGCGAGTAGGGATAATAGGCTCGCCTTCGTTATACGTAGGAAGCTATAGATAGTAGTACTAGAAATCTAGACGTTTTCCGGCTAGTTTAGAGAGAGGTCCGGCTCTAAGAATCTCCGGAACCTCGAAAGCTTATCGTCTTAGCCTAACGTATCTTATTCCCTCCTTAATAAGGTATCCGGTAGGATAGCTTCGATTCCCGGCTAGTAGACTAGGGTAAACTAGTGCTTCGCTAGTTCTTCCTACTATCGGATCTGTCTTTCGGATAGCTAGCGCTTTACTATAAAGTATTCTAGGTTCTTATAGTCCGTCTAAATCGTAAAGGGGCTATATAATTTTAGCTCGGAGTCCTAAAACTTAATACTAGATACGACTGCGAGCATTTCCTTATCGTAGATATCGTAATTAATCTCCGCCTTGTTTAGTTTCTTCGAAAAGAAGCCTACCGGTCGGCGGATTCCCGCCTTTTCTTAGATAAAGGCGCCCCTAATCGCGAACCCGCTATAATCCGTCTTAAGGAAGGTAGAGAGGGACGGGTCCTACTAGGTAAGGACCGGGGCGCGGCAGAATTTGTCCTTTAGCGTCTCGAACGCTTTGTCCTATTCTTCTCCCTAGGCGAACGGGGTTCCCTTGCCGGTAAGCGTAGTTAATAGCGCGGAGATCTTAGAATAGTTCGGTACGAATATACGGTAGTAGTTCGTAAATCCTAAGAAACGACGAACTTCCTTTTAGGTCTTAGGTGCTACCTATTTTCGTACGGCTTCTACCTTTTCGGGGTCGGCTAATACTCCTCCTCCGTCGGCGTAGACGATAAATCCTAGGTACTTAATCTTTTTCTAGGCGAATTCGCTCTTTTTAATATCGAGGTAAAGGCCTCCGTCCTAAAGCTTCTTAAGTACCGCTCTTACCTTACGGAAATAGTCTTCTCTCGACCCGCTCGAGTAGATAACTACGTCGTCTATATACGCCGACACGAAGTCGTCTAGATACTCCTATAGGAGAGTATTAATATACCGTTAAAATATAGCCGGGGCTCCGAACAGACTAAACGGGCATACTAGCTATTCGAACGAGCCTAGCCTCGTCCGGAAGGCCGTCTTATACTCGTATCCTTTCGCTATTCTAATCTTATAAAAGGCCGAGACTACGTTAACCTTAGTTAACTACCGGGCCTCCGTTAGGTTCCTTATAGTATCCGGGATTAGTAGGAGGGGGTATCTGTCTTACTTCGTTAGAGCGTTAAGCGCCCTATAGTCGTAGTAGAACCGTAGTTCTCCCCCGGGCTTCTTAACGAATAGTACGGGCGCCGCTGCTTCGGAGTTCGCCGGTCTTATAAACCCCTTCTTTAGGAGCTCGTCTAGCGACTTCCGTAAAACTAAGAGTTCTTATTTCGATATACTATAGAGCGGACTCTAAGGGAGTTAAGGCTAGGATCCGTCTAGTTTCTCCTAGAGTTCTATCGTATAGTCGATACTAGGGCGATAAGGCGCTAACTTATCGGCTTCCTTTTAATAAAACAGTGCGGCTATATCGCGAACTTCTAGGGGTAGCTTCTTCTTTAGCTCCTCGATCGTCGGGTATTCCTTCGTCTTTAGGGCCTTTTTAATGTCCTTAGCAATTGTCGCGGTAAGCAGGCTTCTTATAGCGTTAATCGTAGCGATGTTCCTATTTATATCGACCTCGCGGTAATAGCGCCCTTCTTTAATCTAATACCGAGCCCTCCCGTAGTAGTACCGTCGTTTTTTAGGTATAGTCCGGACCTTATTATATGCCTTCTATAGGTTCCCTAGGATAAGGGGAAAAGCTAATCCCGGTACGACGTAAGCGTATACTATTTATTAGAATCTATTAATTTCTATCCGGAAGGCGACGACTCCTATAATTTTCGCGTCTTATATTACCGCTAACGCTCCTTTTACTTCTTAGGACTTACGGCTAATATAGCTAAGTCCGAGGCCTTTAGCTAGGCCCGTATTAATTATAGCGTAATACTAGCATCCTTCGTCGATAAGAGTAGAAGTTCCGACGTTATTTTCGAGGACTATATTAGTATATATAAGATTCCCGTTTATATCCTTTTTAACTTCTTCCTATTTCTTTGCCCGTACTCTATCTACTCCCGACTCCTAACTACGAGTAGGAGTTACTCTTTTCTCGAGTCGGAACTGCTTAAGTCCGACTATTCCTCTATATCCTCTAGAATAAGTTATACGGAGGCGACACTAATCTTAGTAGGCTAAGCCGGTAGGGCGTACGGGCAATCTCGAATGCGGTATCCGCTCGCTCTATAGCGGAAGTAGAGTCTTTTCTCCTTACGCTTCTCTCTTTCTATAGAGTCGACCTATTTAGCCCTAGGTTTCCCCGCCGTCGATTGTTAGGCTCCGCGGTTCTTTCTATAGGAAGCGTTAGTTTAAGCGGGATTTATAACTACGTCTCTATTAGAGTCGACCTTCGGGTTTACCGCAAGGGCTATATAGGGGGGAATAACGACCGTAGGACTTACTACTTCTTTCTTCCTTTCTTACTAGCGTTTCGTAGCCTATTTAAACTAATCTATCGACTCGAGGTTCGTTATAATCCGCTCGACCTCCTCTATATAGAGGTAGTAATCCTTAATCTTTAGTACGGCGGTAGTATAGGTCTTAGCCGCGTTCGAGAAGGTATTCTTTAAATAACCGATTTTCGTATCGTCTATCTAATAGTCTCCGCCTACGCTTAGTAGGAGGCCGTCGAATTCTAGCTAGTAGTCGTACTAAGGTTGTCCCTAGGAGTGCCTTAGGGCTTAGAGTTGCTCTAGCGCCTTTATAGCTTCGTTGCTATCCGCGAAGACGTCCTCGAGTTACTAGAAGAAAGCTTCGGAGTCCTTTCCTTTCGTAAGGCTTCCTCTTTCCTAGAAGTAGCGCATCCTAGCGCGTTCCTTTACCGGTAGGGTATCGTATACGGTATCCTAGTAGTAATCTTCGGAGAGCTTTAGTTTCAGCCCGGAACGAACTCGGTACGAACTTCTTAGTCGTAGTAGGTAGTCCCGGAACGACTTAGCTTTCCTATCCTACGATAGTAGTTTCTACTCGCGGGATGCCGTTACGTTTTAGCCGGAAGCCGAGAGAGTTTCTAGTAGTCCCTTTAGGATCTCGTTCGTAGACTAGTCTCGTACTAAACTAGCTTCGGGAGGCCCGGGCTAGCGAGACGCTTCCGCGTATTAGAGCGCGGAACGAGTAGCTTATAGCTAGGCTTCTATCGTCTACTGTCTAGTATAGAGACTCTCGAAGGCACGATAAATCTCGTCCCTAGTTATCTCTAGTGCGGTAGGGGTAGCGTTCCCCTAGCTATCTTACTCGGGTTCCTAATAAACCTTAGCGTTTCCTATATTAAAGATCGAACCTAATATTACAGGTAAGCAACGCGTACGTAGATACTAGATATAAGACTTAATAGGTTCGATAAAGAGCTAAGTCTATCTACGTAAATCCGAATAGTTTTGTACGGTGCGCTAAGCGCTAAGCAGTAGGTTAGAGTCGCGTAGGCCGAATGCCTAAGGCTAGCGCTTTCTACCTAGGGCGTAGCCCTTTACAGCCTTTTACTAGGTATTTAAGATATCTCGTAAAGTAGCAGGTATAATAGGCGATTACTAGTCTCTACTACTAAAACGGAGCTTAATAGCGGCCTTAATCTATCGATTACTAACGCCTATAGACCTTAACTGCAATATAGCCTTAATAATCTCTATCGTACGAGCTCTTTAGCGGTAGTTAGCTAGTACTATCGGATAGACTACTAGATAGTTATAGTTAGAGCTATTCTATAAAACAGACTAGTAGCTATCGTCCGGATTATACTAATCCTTAGTAGCGAGAGTTATAGACTATAGGCAATCGCATAGCTTAGAGTAACCTTCTCGTATCTTTACTATTAGATTAAGCTGCCGCCGTGCCTCTCGTTTGTCTTTTATTGCTTTCCGTATTATAGGTATTAAATACCGCGCGCAGCGGCGTATTATCCGCTAGAGTACGTTGTCCTTATTAAGCTTATAGCCTATCTTCTTCGTCTTAAAGCCCTTCTCTAAAGCGAAGGTTTCTACGTATTCCTTAGCGGCTATAATGCTATTAAACATACGGTTTTCGGAGTTCTCGATAGTAGCAAACGAGCCTACTTAGTATTCTTCTGTTTCTAACTTAGACTAGTTACTATATTCGTCGTTATTACTAAAGATATACGTAGGTTAAGAGGCAGTCTCGATTTCTAAGGGAGGAAGTTGTTCTTACTAACTAACCCCGCTACCGCTAACTATAATACTACTACTACTACTACTACTACTACTACTAATACTAGTTATAACACTCTTAGCACTAGCGCCGCCCTATATAGGACTAGCCGCCTTACCGACTATACGAAGCGTAAAGCGTACGGTAGTATACCCGGTAGCGTACTATACTATTATCTTATCGAGAAACGGTAGTACTAGGTCCTTAGATACTATAAACTCCTTATCTAGCTCTTTATATAACTAGGGGTCGAGTCTGTCGTATCTAGCCTCTATTTTATATATCGTAAGGTAGATATAATTATCCCTTATCTACTACGCCGTATTAGACCTCTAATCTATAATAATATTATCTAAATACCGCCGATCTATACTATAAAGGTATTCTATCGATATTAGGCTACGGCTACTATATAGTAACTCTACCTATAGCTTTAAACCTCCTTTATCGCCTTCTTATAGTAGCCGAGCGAAACCTTAGCGTAGGTCCCTTAACTAGCGCTTCTTATTATTAAAGAGCGAGGTATTAGTATATTCTTTATTAGTAGTAGCGGCGGCGGCGGCGGCGGCGGCGGCGGCGGCGGCGGCGGCAGTATTAGCCTATAACTACGTAGAAGGGCTCGATATAGCGGCGATAATATAAGGTGTTAGCGGCAATAAGGTGTTAGCGATAGTAAGGTAAGGCGAGAATCCTATAGTAGAGAAGATGGAGGTAGAATTAGTAAGGTATTACTAACTAATTTGCCTTAGGCTCCTCCGTTGCCGGAGGGCGGGTTTACATATAACTAGGGCAGGTTTATGAATAGTTACGCCCCGCAGCAAGCTGTGTCGCCCAATTTGACAGCAGTGGCATGTGTATGCTGCGTGATTTGGTGGTCGACGTCGTACAGGGGACTTGCCTGCACTCAGATTGAATGCCTTGGGCTTTGGGCAGGAAGAGTGGCTGTCTGGCGGCCTCAGCGGAGTCGTGATGCAATGCACATGAATCGTCCGATGAGGCATTGAGTCGACGTGGAACCCTCGCCATCGCCTGTATTGACGGGGCTATGATGTCGGGCGAGGGTACGGAGTTAGAACCGAAGGTGTTGTAGTAGGGGAAGAGTACGAATGCACCGTATTACGTCCGGAGTTCTGGCTGCAAAAACGCACAAGTTGCAACCAGGGCGTGAGGCAATTGGAGCCTGCAGCTGACCTCGGTTTCAGGACAGCCAAAGGCCAAATTAAAGAGACATTTCAGTTGCATTTGATTAGAATTTAGGGGTTTACTAGGCGCGATCGCCACACAGCAGCCCTGAGCCGGGGCCACCAGCCAGAAACGAACGAGGCAAGCCAAGCCAAGCAAGCCAAGCCACCTGTCTCTCTTCGTCTGCTTTCTCTTTGTATACCACGCTCTGCTCTCCTTCTGCGTTTGCATCCAGCCCACCCCCGCCCAGGAGCCTCTCGAAAGCAGCAGTGGGAGAGAAGGCCACCTGCCACCTGCGATCTGCGGCCTACACTAAACAATCACCCCCCGACACACCCTCCGACACGCCCTCCGACACGCCCTCCGAGCCTGAGTCTAAATCGTCCGCCCGAGCGAGTCCGCGCTTCGCTTTCACACCGTACAATAGCCTCAGTAGCCCTCGCTGGGCCGACAGCTATTGCAGCTTAGCTTGATACCGACCACAGGTACGTGACATCCAGATCTGAGGGAAGGAGCAGTGCCGCTGCCGTGTGTGTGGGTGCGGGTGCGGGTGCGGTGTGTGATCGTGGCACGTTACTCTTCACCGTCGCTTGCTGCCGGCATCACGAGCGAGCTGATTAACCAACACTACCCGCTGCTCTGCACTCTCCCCCTTCTTCCCCAATTCACGTCCGCCTGCGTGGGAGTTCTTTGTTGTTTGTTGGCCCTTGCTGCCTTTGACAACACAATAACTACGCCGCGACTGCCCGATTGCTGCCGTTTGTGGCTCGTCGAGGCCCCAGCTCAGCAAACAACAACACTCCTCTGCACGAACCACCAGAAACTGCCCCGCCGTCATTTGACCGCCTGTTTCGCCAGCTCATCACCACTCCTCGCAGACTTCCTCCCTCACCACCACCACCACCACCACCACCACTCCTCGACCTCCTCCTCGACGCCGCTCTGGTAGAAATACCGAGCACCACACCGCCCCACCTCGACACCTCCCGACCCATCTCGAAAATCCTCACCAGCTGAGGTCAACCGCACAACATGACGACCATGGTATGCACAGCCTCGTCCCACCACAACCCGCGAGGGCGAGTCGAGGACACATATTGATATGAATATAGGACCTCCGCGTGGGGAACAAATACCGTATTGGCCGCAAGATCGGCAGCGGTAGTTTTGGTGATATCTACCTAGGTACGCGTGTTGGAAGTCTGCGCAATCCTACTTCTCCTAACGCTCTCCACAGGCACCAACATCATTTCTGGCGAGGAGATCGCCATCAAGCTCGAATCCGTGAAGGCCAAGCACCCTCAACTGGAGTACGAGGCACGCGTCTACAAGTCCCTCGCCGGCGGTGTCGGCATCCCTTTCGTGAGATGGTTCGGCACAGAATGCGACTACAACGCAATGGTTCTCGACCTCCTGGGTCCCTCTCTCGAAGACCTCTTCAACTTCTGCAACCGCAAATTCTCCCTCAAGACCGTGCTGCTGCTGGCGGATCAGCTCATCTCACGCATCGAGTACATCCACGCCAAGAGCTTCATCCACCGTGATATCAAGCCCGACAACTTCCTCATGGGTATTGGCAAGCGCGGCAACCAGGTCAACGTAATCGATTTTGGTCTGGCCAAGAAGTACCGCGACCCCAAGACTCATTTCCACATTCCATACAGAGAGAACAAGAACCTGACTGGTACCGCGCGATACGCCTCCATCAACACACACTTGGGTGTCGGTAAGCATAATTCAATGTCCCGACCTAGACCTCCTTCACTAACACCATCCCAGAGCAATCTCGTCGTGACGACATGGAGTCGCTTGGATATGTCATGCTGTACTTCTGTCGCGGCTCCCTCCCATGGCAGGGTCTTAAGGCGGCCACCAAGAAGCAGAAGTACGACCGCATCATGGAGAAGAAGATGACCACACCAACCGAGGTTCTCTGCCGAGGCTTCCCGAATGAGTTTGCCATCTACCTCAACTACACCCGCAGCCTGCGTTTCGACGACAAGCCGGACTACTCTTACCTCCGCAAGATCTTCCGTGATCTCTTCGTCCGTGAGGGCTTCCAGTACGACTACGTCTTTGACTGGACTGTGTACAAGTACCAGAAGAACGCTCAGGCCATCGCTCAGGCACAGGGTCAACAGGGCACTGGTGACGAGGCCGAAGACAAGGCGGGCCGTCGTGCTCCTGGTGGCCGTACTGGTGGCTCCAACCTTCAACGCGCGGTCGCACCAAACACGAAAGAGGGCACTGGAATGTGAGTGCGCACAAACACATGACCTGCCTTCGTACTCTCGTCTTGTAAGGCGCCTTTCCCTCTGCGTATCCGAAGTGCTTGCTTTGTGCGCTTGAGGGGCTAGAAGACTTGGGCTAATGATATCTTCTTGCGTATGACAGGCAACTTCGATCCGCGAACAAGCGTGGTGCCGACCAGTCTTACAACAACTACTGAGCGAGTACGAATGGCGGGGCTGCCGCACACAACTCAACTCTCGGGAGCTGCGTAGTTGAATTTTCAACACGATTGCTCGTCTCTGGATCTGGCCTTGCTGGATGCTGGAGAACTTTTTCTTAGTATCGGTATCGGTGCACGAGTACATGGCTGTCTGATCGATCTTCACTTCTCGCATGCTTCTATTCATCAATAATGGGGCACAAATCTCGACTCGGCTTTCGGGAAGACTGTACCATGGCTTTGACGAAATCAACGAACATGCTCTACTAAGGGAAGCGGAACACGAAGGGCAAGCAACATCACTTTGCAGCATGCAGCTTTCTGGCAGTGTCACTCGGCAGGGCTTTTGGCGTGACCTTTTTCAAGGACATGCTGGACTTTCCTGCAGGCCTCTGGGCCACCGATGACTTTTCTTTATTGTCTGGCTCGGACGACGAAAACGACAAAACGACACAAAAAGATTGGCTTTCAACACCACGATTTCCTTGGCGTTTCTCTAACAATTGCTTATCCTACGGTTCTGTTTTATTCTGCGCGCGGTGGTGGTGGTAATGGCTTCGAATGTGCAGAGGACGTCCGGGGAGGTAATGAGGATACAAGGGGACGGGGGGCTCTCTGATGCAGTGGAAGTTGTCGCCGGTGCGGTCACGCCGGGTTTATGGCCCATTTGATGTCCGAGACGCGGCAACGGAAGAGAATACTTGATTGCTTTCTGGTCTACAGGATTTTAGGGATGGCTTCTCTCATGCGTTCTGCGTAGTGTAGCAATGCAATCGTCTTGCTGCCGACCATTGTCTTCCATGCCGCATGGCTGTTTGTGCGTGAAGTCTGAAATTGGTTTCATCAACGAGATTGATAAGAACGATCCATGGCAAGCAACGGTTCGGTCCCCGTTCTTGAAACTGTCAACGCGTCGTACCGTCGTAGGCTGTTTCTGTTTCTGTTTTGTGCCCCGTGCAAGTGGTCCATGCTCGCGATACTAGCGCGCGATCTTGAAAGTTTAGTTTCGGGTGGCAACTGATTGGCTGCAATCTACTACCAGACAAAAGTTTGGACTACCGAACCGACATCACCTTCTGCATCGTTAGGCAGGTTGGAAGAAGGAAGGAAGGGGAGCATCAAAAATGTTAAGTCGTAGCGCGTGTGCGACGTGTCGACTTCGGGGCTTGATTTGGGCGAAAGAGGTTGCGAGGGCGAGATCGAGGACGTTTATCACCACCACCACCACAGCCCCACGAAACCCAGCGAGATCTGGTGGGTCGTCCGGATTCACGCGAAGTCAAGAAATCTCATTAATCGAAAGTCTTTACACTTCGGGCCAGATCTCGAGGGATGAGTGGAGGCGAAGTGTTTTTCAAACTTCTGGGTTGACGACGACGGATGGAGGAGAGGAGGATTTGGAGAGGAGGGTTAGAAGGTTGAGGGAGTTTTATTCGGGGGAGGATGTGCCGGAGGGTTTACTTGAGGCTGAGGAGAGGAGGGTTTATGAGAGGTTGTTTGGGGGGTTGAGGAGGTTGGAGGTTAGGGATGAGGAGGATGATTTGGATGAGGGGGGTGGTGGGACGGGGGTTTTGAGGGAGAGGAGGGATGGGGAGCTCGAGGAGGTGGAGTTTGATGAGGAGGAGGAGGAGGGTGTGGGGTTGGAAGAGGAGGATAGTTTTCTTGGACAGAGTAGGAGGTTACATCCTGATGAGAGGTTGGCGGTGGATATTGAGAGGGCGTTTTCTACGTCTCATGTGGAGGATGCGGAGCAAGAGCAAGAGGTTGTTCGAGAGGAAGACAGTCGTATTGAAGACGAAGGATACCAGCGAAGGCATCCTTTGACGCTTGCGAATCGATTTGCGACATACCCGACGACTCTCGAATTACCCAAATCTTCGATGATTGAACCTATATCTGCAATGCTGGAGAAGAGATCTCAAAGACAGCGAGCGACGCAGCTTGGTGATGCTGCGCACAGGATCTTTGGTGGACCTGGTATGCCATACTCTACTTCTACGCCGGTTCGCGGCAAGACAATGCAGCAGAAAGCTATCACGCTAGACGCTGGCATGAATCAGATGAGCGATATCGAAGGCGACGTATACATGAGCACGCTCCTGCCTGGGATTTACTCAAGCGTGATGGGCGCGCTTGTCGAAACTAGAAAGAGACTGGGGACTGCTTGGGCGGAATCACTGGTTAAGAAAGCGCAGAGCGGAGAACTGAGAATCCTTGATGCTGGCGGTGCTGGTGCCGGTGTGCTTGCAGTTCGAGAAATTATAAGAGCGGAGTGGGAGAGAATGCATCAAGACAAGACATCGCCGGACGGTAGCGGGGCCCTGGACAGCCCAATGGCTCTCGCAGAAGCAGATGGCAGAGCTGGCGGCGAAGGTCTGGTCGCACCACTTGGGCAAGCCACTGTTCTTACGAGCAGTGATACCCTGAGGAATCGCGCGAGCAAACTGCTCCAGAGCACGACGTTTGTGCCTCGATTGCCAGACTACCTTCACGCGGAGATTGGTGCTCAAGGCAAGTTCGATCTTGTTATCGCACCTCATACACTCTGGCCGCTGAGAGAAGACTTTTTGAGGAAGACGCAGGTTCAGAATTTGTGGTCTCTGCTGTCGAACACTGGCGGCGTGCTGGTCATGCTCGAGAAAGGTGTGGCGAGAGGATTTGAGATGATTGCCGGAGCACGAGATTTGCTTTTAGACACCACAATTGCCTCGCCTGGCAGCACAGAACGGGCGATGGGCATGGAAGAGCCCATCGAATGGCAGAAGAATGCGGAAGGGGAAGAAGTTGCCGAAGGGGAAGATGCTCCTGCAGATCTCATGTCTATGCCCAAGGAGACCGGCATGATCATTGCACCGTGCACAAATCATGAAGGTTGCCCGTTGTACGCCAGAAAGGGCATGGTCAAAGGTCGACGTGAGATCTGCGCCTTCCCACAGCGTTATTATCGACCCGACTTCCTGCAACAGATCTGGGGCGCCAAAGGCAAGAACTATGAAGATGTCGAATTCAGCTACCTGTCCGTGATGCGGGGCAAAGATCTTCGAGCTCCTGTCGAGACTGAGGATATTCAAGAACCCTCTGGCTTCACGCAAGACCAAGCTGCCACCGCCCGCGCCTTCCGCGGCTACGAATCTTCCGCCCCCGGAAAGCCACTCCCCAACTCCCTCACCCTCCCCCGCGCCATCTTCCCACCTCTCAAACGCCAAGGCCACGTCATCATCGACCTCTGCACACCCTCCGGCACGCTCGAACGCTGGACCGTGCCGCGCAGCTTCAGCAAACAAGCCTTCCGCGACGCTCGCAAAGCCAACTGGGGCGACCTCTGGGCTCTGGGCGCCAAAACCAGAATTCCTAGAAACATCAAAGCCAAGACTCGTTCCGAGACTTCTGCTCCGGATTTGGATGTCAAGCTTGCGAAAAATTTGGCGAAGCGAGAGCGGAAACTTGAGCAGGTTGCAAGAAGTGGGGGCGTTGTGCTTGGGACTGATGAGTATGGACGGATTAGGAGTTTTGATGAGGGTGGGAGGATGAGGAGGCATAGGGTTAAGGGCGTTAGGGATAAGAGGGATAAGGCTGCGAGGGGCAATGGGAGGAGGAGGAATTTGGAGGAGTGATGATGATGATGAGGGATGGAATAGCTTACTCTCGGCTCGATTTGACTGAAGCTGGAAATGCGACTGACTGAATTTACTTACTGTCTGTGGTTTTGCAGCATTAGCGCAGGCAAGCGTTCGAGATGAATATCCAGGATCAAGACTCCAGGCAGCCGCCCAGATTAAATCACACGAAAGCATCTTTTCCAGATGAAGAAAGTTATGAACCTTCGTGCATATGACAGAGCCCTCGGGAAGTCAATGATTGCGCAAACGCGGCGGGACAGCTGAACGGCGACCAGAACCACCGATATTACGGAGTTGGCAGCAGTACACTGCCTTGATTTCGAAGAAAAAAAAAACAGAACTTCGATTCGTAGTATTATTTTGTACGGGGCCCCGACCTTCGCCCCGTACCGTCGACCTCACCAACTCAAACTTCTTCTCCTCAATAGATAAGAAGTGAGAGATCACGATCGTCCGTTATTGTTTTTTGTTTTTCTTTGCTCCCGTTTTCCTTTCCTACTCCACTGCCATCTCAACTGTACTACTACTACAAAAGTAGGTCGCAGTCGCAAGCAGGAAGCTTCGTTCCATCTACTCCAAAACCTCCAACACATTATACCTCCCCTCCATCTCCCCCTTCACCGCCCCACAATCCCTTTCCCCCCTCTCCCCCCAAAAACACCTTTCCAAAACCACCCTCTCAATCGTCAAAAAATGCTGTCTCAAAACCCGTTCCAACCCAAAATCCGTCAACACCGCATTCCTCAATTTCAAAACTTTCAATTTCGGAAGCTGGGTTTGGGAGAGAATTACTCGCATGGGGTAATCGCTCAGACACGTACAGCCTGTACGGGGGATGTTGAGTGTCAAGCTCTCGAGTTCGGGCATGTTTCGTCCGAACGCTCGCGGTGCGGTGAAGAGGTCTATTACTTCGATGCTTTGCCCTGCTGGTGTGATGTTGAGGGTGAGTTCGAGGGATTTGAGACGGGGTTGGAGGTTTCGCCAGGAGGAGATTGTGTCGGTGGCGATGAGGGTGGAGATGTTGCGGAGGGGGAAACTCCAGGCTTTGTTGGTGTGCTCGCTGTTTTCGAGGGAGAAGGTGGAGATTTTGTAGTTCTCTGGAGAGTGTGTGAGGGTGTCGGACATGGCGCCTACGACGATGGAGAAGGCTCTTCGGTCGTCTTGTTTTGGGGGGCGGAGGTAGCGAGAGGCTAGGGCTCTGTAGGCTTTTGTTTTGTTTGAGGACCAGTCCATTTTGGTGAGGGGGGGAGAACCGGATTTTAGACGGATTGTTGTGAGGGTTTTGAGGTTGCTTTGCAAGAGCTCGGAGAGGAGTTTGCGCTGTGGGACGTGGATGTCGTCTTGTTGGGCGCTGCCCTGATGAATGTCTTGTAGCAGCTGCTTCTGCTTTTGCTTTCTCGCAGAGGATTTGTAAGGTGGCAACTCATCCAGATGTATGGTGAGTGTTGACACGTTGCCGCCGAAAACCGGGTGTTGTGAGATTTTCAGTGCTTCTCTCAGACTTCGCTCGCTGTTGAGGAGGATTGGGAGATTTGTGAAGCATCTTTCGGCGTAGAGACGTCGAATTTTGTACTCGCATTGGCGAGAAACGACGCGGAGAGTTGCAATGTCTGCAGGAGACGAGTAATCTGCGACCATTGCGAAAAGCTCGGTTGGGAGCATTTTCAGGTTGGACATTGGTGCAGCGTTCTCCATTTTTGTTTGAGCTTTTGGTGATTTCAGCTCTGATGTCAAGGGCTCTGCTGTGAGGTTGTAGCAGAAGCTGGATAGCGCAATTTGGTGAGGCTTTGATGAGGTCTCTACGCGATTGCTTCACTTGTTGTTGTGATTCTTGTGGCTCCGGCTTGTACCTGGAGGCCTCAGACGTTCACTCTGTTGTGAGTCTGATGTGAAGGCAGCTTTTCGCGATGTGATGCGATAAGCCCTTGATGTGGTCACTTTTCACCTGTGCGTTCCTTCCGTAGTGAAAAGGTATTTCTTATTGCTCTGCCTTGCACTCAAAGACCTAAGATGACTGTTCGGTAGCGAAGCTGTCACAAAGGCCGAGTTTCGCAAGTGAACTTTTGTGCAGGATGGTTGTTTCTCACCCGTGCGTTGCGGTAGAAAAAAAGGGGTTTTCTTGTAGCTGACCTGCACTCGAAGACCTGAGATGACTTTTCGGCAACGAGTTTTCGCAAGTGATAAAGCTTTTGTCGTGGAAAGTTGTATCCTTCCACTTGTTGTGCAGGCTCTCTGGTTTGATTTTCCAGAGACTTTGTTTGAAGATTTTGTTTTTTTTTTTCTCTTTTTGAGCGAGAAAAACTTGTCCGAGGCAGTTCTTCCACCAGGGACTTGTATGGTATTGATGTGGTTTCTTGAAGCTTTGTGAGCTTTTGATGGCTCTTGCTGTTTTTCTGTTGTCTTTGGTTTTGGTCTCAGTGGTTTTGAGACGATGCTTTTCTTTGGCAGGAGCAAAAAAAAAATCTTTTCACAGCTCGGTTTTTTGTCTTGGTTTCTTTTCACAGCTCGGTGTTGCCTGATCGTGGGCAAAGCAGATGTGCTTGTTCTTATGGTTGCGAAGATTTGATGTTTCGCGTGTGTTGAGCTGGAGATATGCTTGTGGTAGCAGTTTTGTGAGCTGGAAGATCTTTTTCGTGCTGGAGAAGTGGTTTCTGGAGAAGAGAGATCTGTGAGAGCAGAAGAAATGATTTTATGCTCGACACAACATTCGAAGCCTTGAAAATCCAGGCTGGACGAGTGTCAGGCTGTGGCTTAGAGATTACCAGCTCTTGGAACGTTCCTTGGTTGAGCAAATCCTCAGCTTTTGCGAACCTGGACATACTTTTAGGTATCCTTGGCACTCTTGCTCTTCCGTAGCTTGCTACCCTCGGCTCGCCATGGCTCCTAATGCTTGCGCAGCAGCTGGGTGTCCGATGGCAGTATGATGCGCTAACAGTTGTTGAGACCAGGTGATAGCTGCGCAACACTGCGGAACTCGTATGCCACGCCAAAGCTCACTCGTTATGAGATGGGTATCAAAAAACTAAAACTTACCTACATCAAAAGAAACGCCATCCTTATGCAATCATGTGTCGATAACGCAAACATACAGAAAAAAAGACATTTCATTGCGTCTTGCGTGCTGTCATCATCGATTTCTGTCCGGCTCTGCAATAGATGCCGGCGTACTCAGACCTCGTTCGAGATCCTCAAAAGCCTCGTCCTCTCTGCTGACGGGCTGCTGTGCTGCTGGGTCGTCATTCACGATATTGGCAGCCTGTTCCTGCACATCATCCTCATCCTCGGAGTCGTGGTAAGGTTGTAATGCCGATGATGGTGATGTCGATGAGCTCGCAGCGCCATGACGCGCAAGCGATCGAACGACGTCGCCTTTGCAGATGGGACATGTCCGCCGTCGCGTGGTTAGCCAAGGTGTTCTGCGATCCGATATTAGTAAGTGAATTCGGCAACAAAATCAAGCCCAGCAAACTTACATGCACTCGGCGTGGAACTCATGGCCACAAGGTAAGCTCATAACCCGACTCACTCCATCGACATACTCTTCCAGACACACCACGCACTCGCGTTGCTTGCCGCCGTACCTTCTTCGCCACTCCGCCAGACCTGCAGCTCGCTTCTCCTCGATTTGTTCGAGCGACGGCGACGCCATCTCATCAGACAGCAGAGATCCGCCTTGAGGGACTTCAGATGCCGTCCGGGCTCTCGGTCGTGACCGTGTGCTGATTGGCCGTGATGGTGGCAACAAGGGGGTAGTTGCGCATGGTGATGACGTCGACGATGTTGTGGATGCTGTGCTGCTTGCCATGGTCTGGTACGTCCGGACTGGTAAGCGTTCCACAACGGACTTCGGTGCTCGCCATCTTCGTCGCCGTATCCTTGAGCGAAGTAGTAATAACGCATAGACTACTGTCAGCGTCACCAGTGGCGACACCACCAGTACCAATAATGTATCGAAGAATGGCGAAGAAGACATGGACGTCTGCGAAAGCGTAACCCATAATCCTTCATGAGCAGGTGCGCCATGCTTAGATGGCATCTTTTTGGGCGAAGCAGGAGCTTTGCCATGATGAGACTCGAGCTCTGTTTGTGATGCATCCTTTTGAGACGCAGTGTCAGGCTTGGCGTCTTCCTGACCAGGGTCGGAGCTGAACAGCCGACCAAGCCAGCCGCGTGATGCATCTTCATCTCCACCCTGGCCGTCGATCTGCTGAGATGTCATGCCGTCATTATTTGCTTGAGACTTCTTTGGACTCAGGATATCCACAGCTTCATGGTTCGCTTTACCATACTCTCCGCTGCCAGGCGTCATACTTCCGCCTCGGAGAGATGTGGTTACTGCTTTGCTGGATTGCGGCAAGGCACTGGTTGATGAGCTTGTCGAAGAGCCTTTGAGGTGTTGCTCTTTCGCTACAGCAACAAGATCTGGATCTCTCCAGTCCTGAACACCGATCACGAATCCATCATGCGAGCCCGGCTTTGGAGTTGTGCTTGGGCTTTTGGTTGAAGCCTTTCCGAACTTCCCTATCGGCTGTTCATCGTCTTCGAACTCCTCCTGTAGCACCCAGCCGATGTTGCCGCTGCTAGGCGGTCGACGGCTGTCTGCGTGGCCGTCCGAACAGGCTCCGAAAGCAGAAGCAAACCAGCCGCAGTGCGACTTTGATTTCTGCTCGGCTTCGGCGTGCTTTGAAGCTGGTTTTTTGTCCTTCGAAGCTGGCTTCTTCGCTGGCGCCGTTGAAGCAGCCTTCGCTGTTCCGCTGGTAGTAGTGAATTTGGGCTTATCTGCAGCCTTTCCTTTCTCAGCGCCCGTCTGCTCCTTGCTCTTGTCTCCAGCCGCCAATGCCAGTCGAGATGGATCGTCCGTTGTAGAGTCCTGAGCAGGCATCAGGCTTGATAGAAGTTGCGCAGTGGTATATGAGGTGAATAAAGACGGAATAGTGACGTTCGAGGTGTCACCACGCGCGTACATGGTGACCAATGGGCCGCCTCGGATGTCGTCTCCCACAATCATGGCTATACCGCCTCTTCTTTGCACCCATTTCACCTTCTCTAGGAAGCCGCATCCACCTCGGCTGAGCAGAACTACCTTTCCAGCGATCTCTGCACTCTCCTGTAGTGACTGGATGTCTGCGTGTGTTGGCTTTTTCGTATTTCCGGCGGAATCGCCATTCGTCTTTAGTCCGTCGGAAGCTGGGAGTGGGTGGTGGAGGTGGTCATCTGTACCGTCGTCTTCCGTAGGATACTCCTTCTGCGGTGTCTCCATCATGTACTCGTCATCCGCCGCTCGTTTGGCGTTGCTGCGTTGATTTTCCCCTGCCGCGCTCCTGCCATCGCCGCTCTTCTTGGTGGTTGACCAGCTCCCATCATCCCATCCAGGGACATCACTGCATCCTAGTTCTCCTCCAGCGCCTGCGCCAGATCCTCCGCGGCCCAGGTGATCATTGCCAAAGCCGCTGCCTATCCACAACTGCCCACTCAGACTCTTCGCAGGCAACAGTGGCCCGAAAGCTGCGGGTCTGGCGACGAAATTGGTCGAGTTGTCGTCTGTTATGCTGATTATAGCCGAGGGTGGGAACAGGCTGCTAGGTGTGCGCCAATTGAAGTATGTGCCGAAGGTGCCGCCTCGTTCATCCACATCCTCCCTCGCTCCACTGAAAGGGCCGACAAACAGCAGAAGAAAGAAGGCGACGAGGCAGGAAAGAAGGGCAAGGAGAAATCGAAGTGGGCGCATTGTATCGAGGATCGAGTAGGGTATGGCGTGCGCTTCTGCTTGGCGAGACGGCTGGACGGAAGAAGAAGAAGAAGAAGAAGAAGAAGAGTGTTCGCCGCGACCTGGGGCGCTGCGGTGTTCACGCCCTCATTCGCATGTAATGTCTTGACGTATGCAGTAGTAGGAAAGTGTGTTGATGGCAGTGTGGAGGCGGAGGTGGGAGTGGCGTGTACAGATGCTTCCAGGGCGGGCCAAGTCCGACTGCTTGGAGCATACATGCAGGGTGACGGTGACGGAACACGCTTTCCCTGTCAGATGCAGCAGCAATTTGAACGCCTCGGCCCTCCTTGTGCAGCTGCGAGCAGCAACAAATCAGGGGATACAGAAATCCTGACTACCGAAACCACCGAGCTGACTACCGAATTAACTAATCGGAGAAAGCCGTAATAGTCCGTGCGCAGGTTAGTACGCGCGCTCGGCTTAAACAAGCTCGACTTTCCGAAAGCAACTCTTATTCCTTTCCTCTACTATAGTAGCTTCTATTAGTAATAGTCTATTTAGAATCCAATCTTAATCTATTCTAACTCGATTCGCTAATCTATTTAAACTCGATTCTACTATAGCCCTATCTTAGAAGCTTATTAATAATAAGGACTACCTCGTATATATCGATGTAGCGGGTAAGAATATAAAACTATTAGTAAGTCCTTTTATTATTCTATTGCTATTTATTTCTAATTACTTTTAGGGCTTCGAGGCATTTAAGTTAGTCGTAAACGAAGACACCTTCTTAGACGACGACTAAATTCTAGTGCTAGGCGAGGTAATCTATCGCGTTACCGCTAGTAAGGATAATAATATATATTTAGTAAGTTTTTTCTAATCTAAATGTATTAGTAATAGTATCTAATTAGTTTTAGTATAAGCTATTCTAAGACTCCTCCGCCCTTCTCGCCTATATACGTATAAGTACCGACAAAGGTAGATATAGTCTTATATTCGAGAAGAGTAAAGGTTAAGGTAGATAGGAGGCAAAGAAAAAGGCTAAGAGTATATAATACTAATCGGAATGGTTTCGGAAACGTTTGAATATAGGCTAATTCTATTTAGAATAGTATCGTAAGGTAGCTATCGCTACTAACAATGCCTATATTAACGAAACTAAGAAGGCGGTAAGTACGCTAAAGCCGAAGACGCTAAAGAAGGCTACTAATACTACCTTAAAGAAGGTAGATAGGATCGGTATATTATTAGTTTTAGAATAGTTTGAGAAAAAGTACTAATAGTTTCTTATTCGTTTTAGAAAAGCCTGCTACCCTACGTAGCTTACGCTCGTCTAAGAAGAGCAAGGCTAAGGCTAAGTTCGCGGCTAACCTCGACGATATTATTTCGGGCAGAGAGACCTTATAAGTAGGGTTTTTTTAGTATAGTTAGCGTAGCGTTAGGGTTAGGAGATACCCTTCTAATACTAATAAGAAAGCAATAAGTACTGTCAAACCATTCTCAAACTAATAAGAATCTAATAATAGTTCTCGGGCTTTCTTAATAATTTTAGATTTAAATGATTTTTTACTAACTTTTCTTAGGGGTAGTAAGGCTAAAGGATCTCGGTCGGTAAAAGCAACGGGTTATAATACTAAGTCTTTAAATGCCTCTGTTTCTATACTTAATTTAGTACTAATAAATTATAGGTCTAATCGAGATAAAACGGCTACATCTTCGAAAAATCCGATACCTCGAGAAAGAACCCCGTCGATAAGTACTAACGATAGCGACGCTAACGAGGACGACGAGGAATCGGAATAGTTAGGACTAAGTCCTATAGCGGTACGGCCTAAGAGTCCTATCGCTGTCCGGAAATCGAGTCCGATAAAAAGGTTTGTAATTAGAATGCGAATCTATTTAACCTACGACGGTAGAAATACGCCTTAAAAAAATTAACCTTACTTATAGGACTGCTCCGGACGATAAGAATAAAACTAAAGAGTCGCGACGGCGGTAAGTAATAATCTTCGTTTTATCCTATCTATCGTCGACCTCTTACTAATATTTCTAGTATTTCTAAATCGCATAAATTAGCGCCGATAGTAATTTCTTCAGGTAAGTCGGAGGGCTCGGTTTATAACCTAGAGGAAGAAAACCCCCTTAGGGACCTCGAGAAGCTCGCGGTATCCGCTTCTAAATAGAATGCGGTAAATGCCCCGTCGGCGCCTTCTTACAATCCGAAACTAATAACATCCGTTTCGGATTCTAATATTAAGCGAGAGCCTAGTACCGAACCCCCCCCGGCTTAGCCCCCGAAAAGGCCTACGCCCGAGCCTTCGATTAATCCGCCTATTACGCCTACGCTACTAGTCCGGATAGCCCCTCCGCCTAAGCTAGTACTAGCTTAGTAGCCCTTATATCCTCGATAGGGATTTCCCGATCTATAGCCTCTCTCTTATAGTTCTATTCGAGTGCCTAGATATAAGCGAGGAAACGCGGTAAGCCTACTCTTATTTATATCTTAAACGATTGTAAGTCTATTCTTATTCTATTTAGATCAATTTCGGGAGCGCTATCGGTCTTCTACGTTAGTAGGGATAGCACGATCGCTATCCGACCTGTTTACGAAACGGATAGACCTAAGACCTCTTCCGTAGCTATAAATACCGAGTATTGTTCTAAGATCTCGCGGACGATAGCTTAAGGGCTCTTAGAGCGGTAACGAAGGAATAAGAATAGAATGAGAATAGTATAAGAATAGAATAAGAATAGGATAGGAATAGAATAGCGGGGGAGTTCTAGGCGGGTTAAGAATCTTATAGAAGTAAATACTAGTAGTTATAATTATTTTTGTATTATAGTCTGAATCGTTTCCTATACTAATCTAAATCCTTTAATATACTAATTACAAACCTTTCTCTCTTATCTATTCTTTTAATGCTATTTCCTCGCGAAGGAGATCTAGCATCTCTCGTTTCGCCTTATTCTACCGTTCTAGAAGCTCTACGTCGATCGGCGGTATATCGTCGCTAGTCGCCGGTATACTCGGTAGTGTCGGCGTACTAGTTGCTTTACGTAAGGCTAGACTTTCCTTCGCTCGTAACGATAGCGCCGAACGACGCCGCTTTAGTGTCTAAGTACTACTCGGTTCTTCGGCGACAATTGTATCCTTATTAAATTCCCGTTCTGTTCTCTTTTCTATCGCATCCCGTTTACGACGGCGGTTCTCTAGATAGGGAAGTTAATATTATTCCGATACTATTCGAATAACGATTACTTATACTATATTAGTGTTTACTCTTCGTTACTAACGAGTATACGGAGTAAGCCCGCTATATTAAACGAACGCTATAGGACTCGATGTTTTTTATAGATGTTAGAGTCTTTCGATCTAAGATAGTAGCGCTATTTTAATGTTATTACTTTGTTAAACCAATCGGAAACCTTTTAGAAAGCTTTAATATACGCATTAATCGTAGGTAGAATTTCCCGATGCTTTCTAGTATAGTACCCCTATTTCCCGGCTAACTCGATTGTATTAGTATAGTATCTAATTGTCCGCTAAGTTGCCTTAGGAATATTTGAGAAGACGGGTACTAGGCTATAGCGGATACAGCGATAGAGCTTATACCTAGCCTACCTTACCACTTTCTCGTTTAAATAACCTAGCGATAGGATTTATTTTAGATTCTAATCTAAAAGCTTTCTCACTTACCTGCTAAAGCTTTAACTTCCTTAATATAAGCCTCTTTTAATTTCAATCTACGGATACTATCTATCCGAGCGAAAAGGATCGATCGATCGTATAGACTCTCGTTCTAAATAGCCTTATTAATGTTCCTCCGCTAATAGATTACGCAATAGAGGATAATATATTCGAGTTGCACCCTCTAATCGCGGTTTTAATAGTCAATTTCTTAAAGATAAAGTCCTAAGCCTAGGAGAAGCGTTTATTATCGCAATGTTATCGTAATGTTATTACTATAAGAATACTTTCTTATACCTTTAGCCTACTTCAAGTTCAGGTCGGTTACGACCGCTCGAATTCCTTTACCGTAGATATAGTAAAAGGTTACTGCCGTTCTAGTAACCTTACGTATCCTTCCGAAGACTCGCGTAAAGAAGTTCTAGTATATAGACTCGGATTCTCTACGGACGTAGGCTCGGGCGAAGACAAGGACTAAGAATGTATTTAGAATAGAATAACATTGAAATGGCATCGGAATGCGAATTACTTACGAATAGTTCGCTCTTTATCCTATCGTCCGAGAATTACTTCGTTTATATTCTTTTCCTTAATGCGTTAGAACGATATATCGACCTCGAAGATATCGAAGGAAAGGAATAGCGACGCCTACTCTACGAAGAATGTAATAGTTATATACTCTTGTTCTGTCTACTATACACCCTAAATATATTGCTAAATCGAATGTTAGTAGAATCGGATTGCTTTAATAAAGTAATGTAAATCGAATGTGAATCGGATATAAACGGAATAACAATCGAATAGGAATCGACTTACTTACCGTTTCGGGGTTCTTCCGCTTAATATTATACTTGAATTGGACTCTATTTATCGTCGTTCTGTCTAGGTAATAAATAAGCTTTTGTCGTCGGATTTCCCGTCTAATGTTATTAGTATTCTCTAGACTAAGATAAATTTCGCTAAGGGCGTAAACCCCTTTATCTTAGAGGTACTGCTATAGGGCGAACGTCTAAAGGAAGACGGCTTATCCCGTTCTAATTAGTTTCTTAACCGTTTGCTATACGATTCTTATTTGCTTAATATACATAGTATTATCGTTGCTAATAGCGTTTAAGTAACAAGTCTTAAGATTTCATCCTTATAGGATTGAAGCGGTCGTATAGGCGGCGGCGGTAGATAACAATGCTAATAAAAGGATACGAAGATAACGTAAGGACATACCGCAAAGTTAATAGGTACGATCTTCCTTATTTTAACTAGACAACTAATCTTCTTAAGGAAACCTAGTCTAGAGGGGAGGTAATTGTAACCTAATTGCGATATCAATTCA